TTGGATCGTTGTTTTACAGCAAGCACTATTGCTTTCATAAATGGTTTAACGCGTCCTAACGTTGACCCTTTCTATTTTTCACCAGTCACACCGGCAGAGATTAAGAAGATTATTCTTTCCATTAAGTCGAATGCAATGGGGTGTGATGATATTAGTCGTCGCATGATCATCACTATTCTAGACCCTCTACTTCCTGTCATAACGCATATTATGAATTCCTCTCTCGACACCGTTACCTTTCCTGTTCTATATCGTAAAGCCTATGTACGGCCTCTTCCCAAAATTTCCAACCCAACGCAGCCTAATGAATTTAGGCCGATTTCCATCCTCCCCTTCATGTCTAAAGTGCTGGAGGCATGCGTTCACAAGCAATTTTCTCAATTTGTCCACAGAAATTCCTTAATGAACCCTCTCCAATCAGGATTTAGACCAGGGCATAGCACTGTTTCAGCACTTTTAAAAGTGACAGGCGATGTGAGAGCGGGTATGGAGAACGGTAAAGTTACTTGTTTAGTACTTATCGATTTCTCCAATGCTTTTAATACCGTCAATCACAATATTCTCCTTTCTATACTGTCTCATCTTATGGTCTCTGACGAAGTGTTGACTTGGTTTTCATCTTATCTTCGGGACCGCCAGCAGATGGTCCAGTCTGGGGATTCTTCCTCATCCTGGCGCAGTCTGGAAACTGGTGTTCCCCAAGGCGGTATTCTTTCTCCTCTTCTTTTTTCAATTTTTATTGATTTTATCACTCACAAACTTCAGTGTTCGTATCATCTATATGCTGACGATTTGCAATTATATACCGAGACAAGTATTGACAATCTAAATGAAGCCATTGATGCTCTAAACAGGGATTTAGTAGCTATTAAAACATGGTCGGACAATTTTGGTGTAATTGTCAATGCTACAAAATGTCAAGCCATTTTATTAGGTGGGTCAAGGGCCATGAGCAAAATTTACAACGGCAGTGTTGGTTCCATCGTTTATGACGGCATACCAATCCCCTTCAGCAATGTCGTAAAAGATCTAGGGTTGTATGTCGACTCCAGTTTTAAATGGCAGGACCAAGTTAGTAGCGTCTGCAAAAAAGTAACAGGAATACTGCGTGCCCTTTATCGCCTGAAAAATTTTTTGCCGGTCAATATCAAGGCAATGCTTGTGCAAACCCTAATATTCCCCATAATCGACTATGGTGATGTGTGCTACCTCGACCTGAATGCAGATCTACTCAACAAGCTTGATCGACTTCAGAATAACTGCATTCGATTCGTTTTTAATCTTAGAAAATATGACCATGTGTCCGCATACCGATCTCTCTTAAAATGGATGCCCATTAGGCAACGCAGATGTATGCGGGCTCTGACCACTTTGTTCACTTTGCTGGATTCTCCAAATGCCCCCCCTTATCTCACTTCTCAGTTTCAGTACTTATGTACCTCTCATACTAAAAATCTTAGATCTTCTTTCAATCGTTTACTAGTCGTTCCATCTCACAATTCCGATATCATTCACTCTTCCTTCTTCGTGAAAACTATACTTTTGTGGAACGAACTCCCGCTAGACATTAGAATGTCCCCCAACAAACATTCCTTTAAAACCAAGCTGCGAACCTTTTTATTGGAACAAGCGTTTCGTTAAGTAGTTTGTCGTCATGTATGTATTATATGAAGTATATATGTATGTGTATGTATATGTTTAGTTATATAATTTGTATATATTTACTTATTTATGTATGTTATTGTTATATATTTATTATGAGTAATATTTCTTTAAATGTGATCTCCACCTCAGTTGTGCACCCTGCCACTAAAATCTCCACAACACCCTATGGTTGACTGGTAGAGAATGCCTACGGCATTAAGTCCGCCATTGTACAGTATGTGCATGAAGAATAAAATAAATAAATAAATAAATAAATAACGTTATTGCCATTGAAAATGAATTGGCTTGTTGTGAAAATAAGTATGACAAACTAAAAATTATACTGCTGTGAAACTGCAACCAAAGCTTATTTATATACATTATTTGTTCTGTCAAATTAAACTACATATTAAATTGACTATATATAATTGATTAGAAAAACGACAGTAGTAAAGTTACTTAATAAAGCCTTAAAATTTCACAAATTGATTAATTTTACAGAATCCACAACTTTGAAACGACCTAATACAACTAACTTGTATGTCAAAGTTTCAGGTAGGCCCATGATCCGAGGGCCCTCAAAATTTTTGTTAGATATTAAATAACTTTTAGATTTTGTTATTTACATAATCTATATCAGAATTATGTAAATAACATTGAAAAGACCAAACAAAATAGATTGATATTATATTAATAAAAACCAATAGGTATAAAAACAACGTATGATGTATTATTTCATGCTTACAGTCAAAGTAAAGCTTAACTGAATAGAGTATCCAAAACAATAATTTAAATACTTTACGTCAACACACACTACATATGCCTTTTGCAATGAATGGCTGACCAACGCGGTGCCTATGTGTACAAACAGTTCAAATGTTTTTTTAAACATGGCGAATATTTACATCTGTGCCGATAAATCGAACACGATACTGTAACGCCCGTTGCGTTACGGCCTCTTTGATTGTGTAAACTCTTTGTTTATGTAATGCCTACGACTGGCAGTTATATTAAAAAGTTTATGTCATTATTTTAAAGATTTGAAATTGGGAATCTTCTATCTTTTGATAGAAGATTCCAGCAGAAATAATTCAGGCATGATCGAACGGTTATCTATTAAGTAATAATTATTATATTCGCCTTGAATTTAAATAAATAACATATAAAATCTAATTAGTTATAATTTATGACTTTCTGAGTCTACCCCCCAGGGGTTCCCTTCAGGTTAAGCCCTATAGTACTAATAGTATTTCAGTTATTTTAATATTTGACAGTTTTGCTACTAAAACAAATATATATGTATACACACCTTACTCCTTTGTAATTGCTATCCATATGTTTTAGTAACAAGAACCGTGCCAAAAAGTGATAACCATTAAACCATTAATGAAGCACGGTTTTTTCGATAACTTAGCATAATCGGCACACAGTTTGTATTTACTGAAAAGATACCAAAATATTAAGAAAAAACTCTATTTCAGTACCATCTGATGCTGGGCTTGAATCGAAGCCTTAGTGCACAGAGAACCTACCTAGAGGCTGCACATAAGGGCATTCGCTTATCTAGGCTTGTTGCAAGTGTGTGCCCTATGTCGCTGTTCCTTACCTCAAAAATATAAAAAATAATACTTTTCTTTCTCGAATTTACAAATAAAATATTGAACTGTAAACCTGTTTCAACTTAGGTATATAATTAATAGGGCTCTGCTCTGGGCCCTCTTTTATGGAACCTTGCAGTCGACTGGATGCTCAGGCGTCGACAGCAAAAGTGATCTGCTATGCGGAGACACCTTGGTGGTTGCTCGCGGCAAAGACTATGAATAGGAAACTAGGGCGGCCGAAATAAGCTGCATCCTGGTAGTCGGTCGGATGAGAAAGTTGGGACTTGAGGTGGATACTCATAAAACCGAGGCTATAGCATTATATATGCTATGCTTAGCTATAGCTAAGACGTAAGCCCCTTCTTGGTATTCAAGTTAGGGTGAATGATACGAGGGTCCGATTAGTCCCCTTAATAAAATACCTTAAAAACATATTGGACAGCCGAAAACTTCTACCGTTTTCTGATTGAATGATGCCCATCTCAAGGTTGAAGAATGCTGTGGCGGAGTAAAGCCATCTTTTGCCAAATATCGCAGGGCATAACATGTCATGCCGCCGATTTTTCTTCGGCGTTATAAGATCAATGGCGCTGTACGGACCGCCAGTTTGGGTTGAGGCTCTCACAGTGCGTAATAAGGCTCTGCTGCAACATCCACAACGGACAACGGCGGTGAGAGTCATACGAGAGTACCGTGGCACGGTATCGTGGGCGGCAGCTTGCGCATTGTCTGGTTGGAGTTGGAGGGGCAGGTCTTAGCCGAAACCTACCGGTGTTGAGCCGAGGCTAGTGCACGTGGGGAGCGCCTTGCTCTTAAAGAAATTAGACATGTGACGAGGCCCAGGAAGCCTTGCTGGAAAGGTGAGCGATTGACCTGGAATCCGCCAGGAACGAGACACGCACCATAGATGCTATACTCCCGGTACTCATAAATTGGGTTACTAGAAGTTCCGGGTTGTGTCTTTCCACCTTGTGCAGGTGCCCAACGGGCATGGATGTTTCGGGCGCCACTACACAAAATGCGGAGGAGACCCCGAAGTGCCAGTGCGGCGCTCCAGAAGAGACAGCGTAGCACATCCGTGTGGTGTGCACTGCCTGAGACTCCCGACACCTCAAATCCCGTCGCCTTACCCATTGGCGGGGTATGCGTCAGGCATTACAATTTCACCGGGTGGATAAAATAAAAAAGGCATAAAATAAATACAAAATTAGCATTGCACATAGCCATTGAATATCAGGTACAGCTTACTATGATATTTGGACTTTGTTGTTTGACCATGACGTCATTGTGATTTATCCAATCAAAACGCGGCTTTCCTTCCCCGGACGACGACAACTTTGGTTATTTCGATTTAAAACAAAAATTTAGTAATGCGGACTCTAGTGGGGTGCACTGTGCCCGCCCCTAGTATTACATTGTACAGTAAAATTATGTAATAGCGCTGCTGCAGTCCCATTCTTTATTTTAGAAAATAGCACGCTACTACTTTCATTCTTTCCATCTTACTTGGGTTCCATATTGAAATAAGACAACTGCCGTGGCTCGAGTGTTAAGTAAGCCGGATTTCAAAGTGTCGCCTACTCAGAGGTCCCGGATTCTAATCCCAGTAGGGCAAATGTTAGAATGATGAATTTGTACCTAATTTATGGATTTTTGTATGTATTTCTCAATAAATTTTATAGATATAAGTATATTATGTATTCTGTACGTTACCATAGTACCCCATAAGTAACACAAGCCGTGCTTACTTTGGGACTAGACTAATTGGTGTGTGTGAGAAATATTTATTAGACATACACTAACATTAAAACATGTTATCTCTCTTCACTCTCATTAAATTAAGACCTCTTTTTCAGATTATTGAAGCGCTGCACTATCTGCATTATACGGCTCGCCAGATCCACCGCAACGTCTGCCCGCAAGTAATCATTGTGTCCAAGCGAGGAACATGGAAGCTATTTGGACTTGAGTTCGTCGGTAAGTACTCATAAAGGTCCTTCACACTAGTGTTTATCCAAATAATAAACCTACCATTTTCAAAGACCATCGTACAGTGGATAAAAGTTTTGTATGATTGAAGAAAAAGACTCTATAGCATGTGTATGAAAGTTCATTTTCTCCCTAAAGTTAATCGAATTGGCACGCGTTGCCGTTATCCCTCAGGGGAATTGATTGATGGTACCTACTCATAAAGGGATAATTATCTACGACCTATACAGACTTTATTTTACCGATCCGTTTAACGTTGTGGGAATTGTACATTATAGGCTGTAAACGTCGAATGACTTACTTCTGACAATCTATTTCACCTCTCCGTTATTTTTTCCATAGTGTAGTGCAGACCATTTAATTGTTACACGTTCAGCTTCGCAGACATGCAGTGCATTGTGTAAAATAGAAATTAAGAAGCGTTGAGAGTTTGATACAAAAACATCATACCCAATTTCCAAAAATGATGATTGTTTCTGGTGGGTTTTCAGAAAAAAAAATCGCAATACCTTGTCCTGAAAATAAAAAGTACAGCTATTTTTTTCCTATTTGGTGCAGTCTTTCAAAAGTTATTTGCACATATACATTTTAGCAATTCTTTTTTATTTATATACCTACTAGCCGACCCAGCGGACTTCGTAACACCATTGTCTGTTAGTTTTTTTTTAATTTCCTTATATACGAACCATGTCCTGACAAAAACGAACACAACGAAAAAGAACTATCCAATTTGGTACAGTTGTTCGGAAATTTTCTGCGCGTACAAACTTTTCGGTTATTCAAATTAATTTATATGGATAAATAGGTATACAAATAGATATTGATAGAGAATATTAATCATGTTCAATTCTATACCTTTACATGTTAAATGCGCTGGTTCCGCAAAATTATCTTAGAAAAGAAAACGAAAATAATCAATTAACTTAACATATTAACACATAGTAAACCAGTAAATTACGACTTTAACAGTTAGATTTTCAGTAGATAGTAATGGATCACAAAATTGCTATCACCTGATTGATTACAATATGCACACACTTATCCCGTCGTTAATTTGATACAGTTGCGCCGCTACTTTGTAAGGTGTACGTTCGCTGATAATGCTGGTAATATAAAATTTAATAACGTCACTCAAAATAAATTGTTTACGTTTCCTTTGCCCACTTGCATAATAAACAAAAAATGAGTCGTTCGTGAATGAATCCTTCACGCAAGTATATCTCCTTCAGTCGTTCATTCGGGTCCCAATTAGTTCAGTACTTCATCGTTCATAGTTCACACTTCACTGAAAGAGAGTAAAGCGAACGGATCTTAGATTAAAACAAAAAGGAAAGATACGATAGGCTCATACTTAGCATCAAACAAAATATGATCCGAGTCAACTACATAAGCAACTCTCACACACGCACACTTCTGTAAATAAACATTCGATCGATCGAACGAGACAGAATTGTACGCTTCAACGCAGCGCGAGCGAAACGGCGCGAGTCCGCGTAGCTTTGCAGCCAACTGCGTTTTCTTTTCCCTCTCTACAGACTACGGCTGAATTGTATTGTTGTCCTTTTCTTTATAAAAAATGGCGAATCAGTAACTAACATTCATGGCAAACCATGATTTGTGAGAAAAATGTTTTTATAGTTTTACGAATGAAAAGTGTTGCCGTGGCATTTGTTACTTGATATTGAACTACATATTTGTGTTCTTTAAAAAAACAGGGGAGGCATTGTTTTATCTTTATAACACAGAAAATACGCAATATTGTTATAATACTAATACGAAAAATGGGCTTAATATTCATATAAACACACTTTCATAATCTATTGAATCACCTGTTATAGCATTTCCATTACATACCTTATCATTAGAACAACGGAACAGATTGAACTAAACGAATGTAATGACACGGTTGAACTTAATGATAATGTGACACAAATGGACTACTGAGCCAAGCGATCTAGATGAACTAGATGAGTTCATCTAGTCAAATTGGACTACATCACTATTTACACTTCAGTCAAGTATTTTGCGCATGTCTATAATAAACGCGCCTTAACTACTTACGTTAGGCGAAGGCCACAGTACAAGATAGAGATGGGCTTTTTAGATATTTGTGAAATCGATGAAATTAAAAAAAAAGTACGCATCGGCATCCAACAACGGCATCCAAACCTGGCATCGTTATGGGGCCTTCCTTAGTGTTAAGAGCCAAGCGACTAAACGTATTATTATCATATTCCAGTGAAAAATAACGAAAAACGTATTAAATAGTATCCCAGTCAAAAACAACGAAAGACGATTTACACAGAACCATGAACATTTTCATAAAAATGAACGCTACGCAGCTAACGCAGCACTGCAATATAATGACGGAGCCTCTCTCTTGAACCTCTTTTATGCTTCGACGCTGGTCTTTCGTAGTTATTCCTCAAGAAATAAAAGGCACTGCTAGATACAAGCAGCAATCAATTCATTTAGTCAACAGCAGCCAGTTTAAGTAAATGCACTAAAATTATATTGTTATACCTAGTACTTATTAAAACATTGGCCAGGTTACAAGCGTCGCGATGCAAGCATAGGCGTGGCACAAAGTCAATTTACTTTTAAGTATGATTAAAGTCAGTGCTGTTGCTATATTTGTTATAAGAACAGAGAAGAAGGAGACAGACAGTCCGTATTGAGTACACATATACTCGTACATTGTTGCACCAAAATAAAACCCCCGTGACTCCAGTTTAAATATTCCGGGAGGGAAGTTTTCTTGTTTCGAATTGAAAAAGAACGTGCTATGTTTCTAATACGGACTGAAAACTTGGGGTATGAGCTTTCGATGGTATGACAAACTCACAAGGGATATGTCGTGGCCATATCGTAAATTTGCTCAATTCATGAAATGGTCACATTTCCTGATGTGGGCAACTTAATTTGACCAGATCCGGATCGTATAATTAGGGTGTCCGTAAAATAAAAATCCATAATATCCCAATATAACATAATATCCCAAAATGACAATCCAAAATATGTAATAAAAATCCAGAATATGTTAAGAACCTGTTTATTGTTATTTAAGTCCGAATGACACAAACAAATTGAATCAAATTTTTGCAACAAAATAAACAAATTAAAGATTTTTTTTTCTAAATTAAACATCAAACATGTCAAGAAGTTACATATTTATATTTAGAAAACTAATAAATATTTAGAAATAAGAAGGAACTTTGGTACATATTAAACTAAACTGTACTACCAGGACCCAAGAGAGAAGTATCACTTCACACTACGTTAGGTTACGTTAGTGTTGTGACCATAACGCGCGAGCCGAGCGAGCCGCGGAAGCGGCCGGCAAAGCGCTACAAAAAAAAATCTATTTAAAGAAACCTTTTCTACAAAAGAAATTCAAGTATCACCTCTTGGGCCCTGGAAGTACAGTTTAACGTATATCTTTGTACTTCGTTGATTCTCAGCCACACTTTGTACCTCAACCGCAGTTTCCAAAATGTCATATTTTGACAGCCACTAATAGACCATGGATTTCTTTTGCGTAGTCACCCTACTCTCCTTAATTTGTTTCATAACCTAAAAAAGAAAAAAACATTGCCTTTATTATGTCATAATTCACAAAGTAGAATAATATTAATTAAATAGAAACACAATACGTTAGCTGGCATAAAGTATTTTAATGAAATAAGTGAATAATGATGTAATTACTAACCTGTGAAATGTGATCCAAACCACGGATTATTTTATATTTTGCTCAGTTTTTGCTTGATTTGCACAGTAATCGAGAACCTTTTCGTCGAAAACCCTTTTGTTATCACTTTATTCCTCATTTAATAACGAATTACTCTCTTTTTCACTGCGATAAACAACATTGTCGGCAGCGGCAGCCATATACATATAGCAAAGCGCTTGCAGCGCCGCTACCGGGAATGAATACGAATGAAGTAACTTTTTTACATGAAGAAGCCTCGCGTTTACATATCTTGAAACGATTTCTCATCATTGATCTACCCAAACCACATCATGATGTGGCCAATAAATAGTGAAACATTTCATGAAATCCGACCATTTTATGAAATTGTCGAGTATTTCATGAAGTGAGCAAATTTACGATATGGCCACGACTAATATATAAGGTGCAAAGTTATATTGGTGTGTTCGCTACTCATACTGAAACTTATCTGATATGAGTGCCATAATTTTTTCCATTTATTTTCTGGTATTGTTTCTTAACAGCATTGTTGATTCAGAGTTTTGCATCGCTTTTTTTCATGAGCAAAATAGAATATAGGTGGTTTAGTATTTCCCATGAAAAGAATAAAATGCGGGTTTTCTATATCTCTACAATGACGGAAGGAAACAAAATCTTTACATAAAGATATTGACAGTCCTTTATAGGTACTTTAGTTTCTACGCTGTGATTTTCATCATAATAATTCAAGCGACCACCACCAAAGTTATTTTACTCTAACAATAAAAACGGGCCAAAGACGGGTTGAATTCGGAAACGTTAAGGCCTGTGCGCACCACGTTTTTAAAACGCGCCGACGACGCGACGACGAGAGTTTGTAGCCATACAGACGCGATAAGCACGCGAGCCAGACGCAGCCCGTACACTGCATAAATTCAAACACGTTTAAAAATCGACACAAAAGCGATGTTAACGCGGGCGTGTTTTGATGCAAACGACAACAAACTAATCTGCAGGATAAAAGCGCGCCGTCAACGCACATTTCCAAAATGCGCGTTGATGCTGTGTTTAAAAAAGTGGTGTGTGCAGGCTCTCAGATTGCGTACTTTCATACCAAGTAAAAACATTTAATTCGCATAAAAAAATAACGAGTTTTATTGGGGTCCCTTTGATTTTTTACCGTCTACCTACCTATTACGGTTCTTGAGATAAAACTGTTGACAAGCGAATGGACGGACAGTAGAGGCTTAGTAATAGTGTTCAGATGTCATTGTTTGAGGTACCTCAAACTGAAGTAGGA